ATGGATTGTGACACAGTAAAGCTAAATGAGTATAGATTCTGTGTTGAGTTTATCCTTGAATGAATGTGCAAGAACGTTATGGTGATAAATAGGAACAGCGGTCATCCGACACTCACACACACACCCCACCCCCCTTCTTGCTGTAGCTTCACTTCGAGTACGAGGCAAGGGCAGGGTGATGTCTCGACACACCCTACGAAAAGATCTTGTCCTGATCCAAAGCAAATTCCGACATGCAGTTATTTTGAGTACAATCCCCCATTCAGTCTTTTTCCTCCACGAATTATGAAATATAAATTGATAATGAAAATTAGTTACAAACTGTGAGAGCTTATTTACAATAGTCTAGTTCTAAAGGTAGTGGAGTTACGGCATGTTTCCTTGTGTAGGTGCAAGTACGCAGGAATGCTTTCGACACATCTCAGAATTCAATACCATGAGTTTCCTTTATATTTGTGCCTATATATTTCATGATAGTCTTTAACTTTTTCGACGGTTGGGTGAGCAGTTGTGAATGGTACATACTCACATAATGAGTTACATAAATAAGTTAACTCAACTCTCTCAAACAATCTTTTGAACGACTTAATGAGCTCTATCGACTCATGCATGATCGAAAGCTTGTACCGGGTAGCTGTTGGCAACCAATCTAGATTCTTGGATGATGGTTTTAAGTTTGAGCATTTGGATGTTCTGGTAATTATTCTAGCAGCTGTGTTTCGGACTTTCTGGACGCGTACCAGATCTCCAATAAAGCCCTAGAGATACTATTACAGCATTCAATCTGAATAAAGGGAGCCTATAGCAATATTCCAACAATATTACGGCGGTGGATACCAGAAATGGACTTTACACTTTGCACCCGGGAATCAAACCCAAGTTTTCAGAGTAAAGAGCGAACGATTTAACCACTGCCCTACCCCCATCACCAAATCTGTGAAAGAACCAGGGCTTGTATAGACGTTTTGACAGCATCTGATCGCATTCCGTGACTAATGTTTCCTACGGATCCTAAGTAGATATTGCAGGTCCGGCAGAACTGATCTTGATGCCCCATGGCCCGCCATGCATTTTATTAATATGTCCTTACTTATTCCTTTAAAAGTAGTATATAGTATTCCCACAAATTATTGAGAAAGTTGTTTCGGCAAATATCTAATACATGTATATAAACTATAGACGTTTTACTTAAATGAATATGTAGAGATGATTCTCTTACAGTCTAAGTGTTTTTTTCAGTACGTTGTGACACCTCCTTGCAGTGAAATCCACGACTGAATGCGCCTAGGTACACTACCGATCAAAGCTTGCAGGAAATCGTGTGACAGCGTATGTCAATTTTCGACCACTTCTTTCTTCATATCCTCAATATTTCTAAGTCCTTTTAGATTATTCTGTCCTTCACTAGTCCCAACACATTCTCAATAGGGTTAAGATCTAGGCTGTAACAGGGCCAGTGTAAAACTTGAACATTTTCGTCTGTTTTGTGTATCCCACAGTGTGTTTTTGGTCGTTATCATGCTGGAAATCCAATTATCTTCATTCAGTGTTCGGGTCGTTGGAAGGAGGTGATCATTTAAGATGTCAACATATCGTTCCTCCGTCAAATTTCAAGTGAAAATACACAACGGCGTCACTCAACCTGATGATATCCCACCTACATATGAAATTTCGGGCTATGTTTTGGGTGGTTCACGCAGTTCGGAAAAAGTCAGACAGAACTTTCATCAGAAAAGAAACATTATCACAATCTTGATTTTTGTGAGCCCTACGCTAGTTTAAACCTTTTTGTGCATCTCTCATCAATGGTGAGGGAATTCTGCGCTTTTTCACCCAGTTAATATTTTGTTTTTGTCTAAGGGTTTCATTACAAACCCGAGGACTTCCTCTATTAATCATCTCATTTGTGATATTCTCAACGCTTTTCAATTTTCTCCTACTCACAATCTGACCAAGTCGCCTGCGCTCCGTAGTACCGAACTTCCTTGGCCTCTGTCTTGAGCTCAATCCCAACTCCTGACTGAATATTCTTCAAAGTCCTGTATACTGTAGACAGAGGAAGGTCATGTCTACCAGCTACCTCAACTGCATTAGTCACACCCCTTCATCTAGATTCATCTATCACTACTGTCCATTGCAGGCAAGATACTAGCAAGGGTGCTGCTGAACCGCCTCATTAAACACCTTGACCAGGGTCTGCTGCCAGGGAGTCAATGTTGATTTCGGGCTGGGAGAGGTACGGTGGACATGATCTTTGCTGCTCGCCAACTACAAGAAAAGGCGCAGGAACAACACCAAGCATTGTACACAACCTTTATCGACCTGACAAAAGCTGTGGAAGATAATGGCAAAGTTCGGCTGCCCTCCAGTCTTTGACACTGGGGTGAGACAATCCCATGACAGTATGATGGCACGGATCCTTGATGACGGAGAAATGTCCAGAGACGTTTCAGTCAGCAATGGCGTGAAACAGGGATGTGTCCTTGCCCCGACACTATTCTCTATGATGTTCTCGGCAATGTTATCAGATGCATTCACTCTAGAAGACCCTGGCAGAGATATACGGTACTGCACAGATTGCAAGTTGTACAACCCAAGACGCCACTAAATCCAGTTACAGCACTCTTCGTGACCTCCTTCTCGCAGACGAGTGTGCGTTAAGTGCTCACAGATGGTGAACAAATGTAACACAGCATGGACAAATGTTCAACTGCTTGCGATAACCTCGGTCTCACAATAAGTACCAAGAAGACCGAAGTCATGTACCAGCCTCCTCCAGGTGTTCTGTGTCCTTGAACCATATTCAGTTTACAAAAAAGATAGTAGGGACAAAGGGACCAATCCCTTATGTCATCAACTTAACACTACACTCCATTTGGAGGGAGGAACTCAAAAACTAAATCTATGACTATTATCATAAGAATACCCCTTTACATCATCCATGATATTGGTGTAAGATGTGTTTAGCCTTTTAAATCATCCCTTGGATGTTCCCATAATGAAGGACTGACTGAGTTTGTTTTTTACGCCGCTTTTAGCAATATTCCAGCAACATCACGGCGGGGGACATCAGAAATGGGCTTCGCACATTGTACCCATGTGGGGATTCGAACCCGGGTCTTCGGCGTGACGAGCCAACGCTTTAACCACTAGGCTACCCCACCGCCTCCCATAATGAAGGATCACCACTGGGTTCTGGTTGAAAGAAGGTCTGCTTGGAGAGCAGTGGTGGGTGGTTCAAACTCGATACTTGCGGATTCATTTTGTCCCTGAGTACAGTTGTTCCTTATCTGTGTATGCTTGCCGCCATTAAACGATCCTGTGATAAGGCTGGGTGAGTTGTTCGACTCCCAAACCCGTGAAGATCCGGCTGAGAATTGGTCTTCAGTAACCCATGCTTGTCGTAAGAGGCGACTAATGGGGTCGAGTGGTCAGGCTCGCTGACTTGGTTGACACGTCATCGTATCCCGATTGCATTGATGCTCATGCTGTTGATCACTGGATTGTCTGGTCCAGAATCGATTATTTACAGACCGCCGCCATATAGCTGGAATATTGCTGAGTGCGGTGTAAAACTAAACTCACTCACTCTCTATGAAGTTTATAGCACTCAAAAGAAGAAAATGTTTCACTTTACTGTAGATAATTTCTCAAGGAAGAGAGTTTTATAGATGTCAACTTCTTTATTCTGAGGAACAGGGTTGTCGGGTTCAGACTTGATGGTATACAGAACATCACATTGCTTGAATAATCGAATGTGTCAAGGAAGCAAACTCCACATACATAACACACCATGGTAGATAGTGAGAATAATACTGATATAAGGTGGGTGAGTGAGTGAGTTTGTTTTACCCTGCATTTTGCAATATTCCAGCAATATCACGGCAGGGGACACCAGAAATGGGCTTGACACATTGTACCCATGTGGGGAATAGAACCAGTGTCTGCGGCATCCTTTAACCACTAGGCTACCCAACCCCCCCACTGATAAAAGGGGTCCAGTGAACACCATCTTTACAAATAAATATAAAACATCAGTGCCAAAGAATACTAAGTCTTTGACTATTCTCAGAAATGGATTCCTTTTTGTGTAGAGGGCAATATAGCTGTGAAAATAATACGAATGGACCATTGAAAATCAGTGATGACACAGGTGTTGACAAAGTTTAAATACAGTTAAGGGTGTTGGTGCATCTCTTCCATGATCTGACGAACACCATGCTTACAAAAGAGCCATGATCAGATTACTTCCTGCACAAAACAGTCAGAGATGTTGGTCCATGAATGCCTGCGACGATATGTTGTTGGTTAATGTTATAAATGGATACCGTGGTGGTGTGTGGTCTTGTGCATAGAGTCCAGGTCACAAATCAGTTGAAGGTAAGCAACCTTGCTCACAGAGAGGCCTTGAATGGGTGGCTGTGTTTGGCAGCTTGACTCCTGAGAGTCTCTACGACTCCTGTCCTGCCCAACAATGAACCTTCTAGCACTTACAGGCAGCATGGGTTATCTGGGTCCATTATGTGGTATGAGCATGTCTGTACAGCATTCAGTTCAGGGCAAAAAAGTTGCCTGAACATGTTTACATAATATGTTTTACAGGTTAAAAATAGTTTGCAGCAGAGAGGGTTCAGGTGATCCTGGCAGTCAGGCTGGTAATGCTCATCATCAGCTCAGGGCCCTTGCCCTCTCTACACGGAGCCCAGACAGCCAATGGGACTTCTCCCAGGAAAAGCTGCCTAGTCGAACCCACCAAGTACTTTCTGGAGAATATGTAAAGTCCCCAACACTGTAGCCTTCTGCATTACCCAGGGTGTCAGATGGGATGTGTTCCTGGTGGAGAACGCGGGCACTCTCCGGATCTGCGCCAGGAGATCAGGAGGTACCAAACTAAGGGCACCAAGAACAATGGGGAGCCTGACGACAGTGTACTTGGGATGCAAGCAAGACATTTCAAAGGCGATGTCCTCATATTAACATAAACAACACAGAGACAGGGATAGTTTGTGCATGTTTTATGTGATCTGATGAATACCTTCGGTACAAAACGATGATGCAATGTTCAAGCAGGACTTTATACAGCTTCAGCACGTCACTATTTACAAACATTTGACAAATAAACATTCACTAACCACATTCAAAAAACGTCTCTTGACATGATGTACATTATCTTAAAATGATGCACAACACCACTAATAAGACAAAAGGGTCTCCCCAAGATGGACAACTGCTGTTACGGCTTCAGTGACATCTCTGAGTAATTACCACAAAAATTACATGTTTATATTTTTCCAAAAAGGTTCAAATTTACAAATAGGCTGAAACATACTGGAATGTGGTTGTTTGCTTTGTTGTAAAGAACTCAGGTGTCATTTTCTGTGCCAGATATTATTATTACATTCTGCCCTGTGCTGTGTGGCATTAATAACACATTCCATTTAATCCATTTCCCTTACCACAAGGAACTCTACAGTTACCATATGAGTGAAGACAGGTACTCATGGTTCGTGTGGAAAAAAGATTTACATCAAGGCAATTTTGGGATTTAACGCCAACCAATTGTATGTGTTTTGTTCATTATCGCCAAAACTGGTCAGACAGGTAGGTATGCCTTTAAACCCAGCAGCTATGTTGAATAACCCTGGCACTACTGGCATATCTTTGGTACCGGTATATGTTCCTATGTATGCTCTTCAGTCACAAACAGCAACTAGCACCAAAACTATACTTAGGATTGACTTGGTCAAGTTCACAGTCCCTTGTCATCAATACCAATGGAGGCTGTAAATTGGCACATGTAAATTGCAATATATTTCTATGTCATCAGATTATTTTGAAAATATTGACATCTAAAAGTGTTTGATCTAAGTATACTGTGGTAAATTTGTACCTAGTTCATCAAAGCGATCGTTGCACAAAGAGGAACATAACTCTCAGCCTTCCTCACAGATGTGTGACAGTCATAATGCTTTGATCACATTGTGTAAGGGGGATAACTCTGAGGACTACTCTTATCATTTATGAAACCGAGAATCTGGAAACTCCCGAGGAATTAGCAGCATCTAATCTAATGTCTTGTCTGTACACAGGAGTGTACAGGAATGTACACTTTAGATGTAACTGGTCTGTGTCGTCTGCTAGTTTCATCACCAGGTTCCAGTTGTTGATAGTCAATGACAAGCGATCAGTCACGTGACTGAGTGTGACCTACCAATCTCCTTTCAGATAGCAAACATGAGAACTGGATACCCAATCTGACCTCCAAATCCACACAGGACAGGTCACTGCAAGCTCTACACAACATTCTACAGGGATAACAGAAGGTCAAGCAGAGGTCAACATTACATCTCGATACACCTGGATGTACAAAAATTACAGAGTTATGTATATACAAATGAAAGAATGTTGTGTATTCACAGGAAAACAGGAGGTACCAGAAAATAATACAACAAATCGAAAATTGTCATTTTCTTCTAGTAGTATACGTTTTTTAAGGCCAATCTTATGTCATGTTTGAAAGAAATAAATACTGAAAATATTTTTGAAAAAGAAATCGAAAATTTATAGATATGTGCTCTCACATACTCAATAAAGTCTGTTGAACAGAGCCACATTCTTCTGTTCATTTCAGATAGTTTTGTGATTGGTGAAATTCATGAAGTAACACGGTTTTAAAAGAAAGTTAAGGATCTTCCAATTACTTCATTATAAAAAAGTTACTGTCATGGCATGTGTAACAACTGTAGTTTACTTACATAAAAAACCTTGTCAATAGAAAAAGTGGGGTTTAGGCTTCTTTGTCAGTTTGCGAAAGTCTGGTCCATCTTTTAGACAAGGAAGGTGAATAAATAAAACGAATAATTGTTATGTGACTGTCATTATAGGGGTCATGGTTGCGGTTGGAACAACAATTTGGGTTCAAGGTCAGCAATAGTTAAGGTCAAGGTGATGTCATATTTTAGGTCAGGGTCACGAATCACAGGGTTAAGATGATGTATAAGTGAAAGGTCAAAGTAAGTATTGAGATCACAATCGGGTTGGGTGGAATCTGGTTAGTGTGGGGTCTGGTTTGGCAGGGATCTGGTTAATGTAGGGTCTGGTTCGGCAGGGATCTGGTTATTGTGGGGTTGAGGCATGGTTTGAACCATTCTTGGTGGTTTTGAGAAACAGCAGCTGGTTACGATGGGTATATTATAGGCATGATATGACAACAGCATGAAGGTGTAATAATCATCATACAACAGAAATATGCAATTCAATTATGGCATAAAGTTCAAACTGTGAAGACAAACACTCCGTCAAAATTGTTTTGACATGTGTGGACACCAGGGGATTAGCACCTTCCTCAGATGAATATATACATATGGAGTCGATACACAGCATCACATGAGACAGAAAACACTTTAAAAATACAGAAAAAATGTGTCTTGCCATTTACGGTTGTCACCAGTCATTTGTGGCAGGACAGTGGGAGTATCCCAAAGGTTCATGTGGCCACTGAGGCTAGGTTTGAACCCATCAACACTGGGTTTGAATGTACCTGGATGATCCTTCACAAGGGAGATTACTCAGGTGTTTTCCGCTAACCCACAAAAATACCAACCAAGATGGGTGAGCAAGCCTTCTATTCTCTCTACAGGAGAACCATGAAAATATGTGCACGAATAGATTCACATTTGTGTCTATCAACATTCAGATCCAGTATTCGCCCGGGGGCAGTTTTACTTTCCGAGTCCATGAATGAGATAAAATGAGAGATTCCTTGCAAGTCCTGTTGCAGTAAGTAATTATCAGAATAAGTTGTTGGGTATATGGTACCAGATAGAGATCTTCTTGGGATATCGTTAAAATGATTGTCATCTCACTTTTCCATGATTCTGTCGGTCCACGAATACTCCTGTATAACAAATCTTCATCAAAGAACACAATGTTTATAAAACAGTATCCACATATCACGTGTGCAAATACGTTCACTGGTTACGAATTCAGGTACATAAATAACTCTTTCCAATCAAGGCATCTGCTTCACAGATTCTTCTCTGATCAGATATTGACTGATAATGTAACTTCAATTGCAGAATAGCTCCTGCCAAGGGAGGTAATTGCACTATCCCATGCATGTGTGGCATGCACATGAAATACTTTCACTCATTCATACGCAAACTTCGGAGGGCTTCATGAAGGACCCTGTACAGTTTTTGTTGAAATTTATCCACTTTATCCCATTTTTTCGTTTCCTTGGCAACTCGACATAATTCTTGAGCATGTTCAATACTGCTGTCATCATGAAGTGCTGGATACAACACGTGATGAGTTGAAAACCTGGAATCAGAAACATACAAATTGTAGCATTATATAAATGGGTTCATTTAATCTTACGTTACTTTAAACCAGAGCATACAGAGTATATTTTTATCAGGTCACCTGATGAAGGAGTAAGAATATACTTTGAAACATTGAGTTCAGTATACCTGATGAAGGAGTAAGAACAAACTTTGAAACATTGTGTTCAGTATACATGAAGTCACCTGATGATGAAGGAGTAAGAATATACTTTGAAACATTGAGTTCAGTATACCTGATGAAGGAGTAAGAATATACTTCGAAACATTGTGTTCAGTTCAGTATACCTGATGAAGGAGTAAGAACAAACTTTGAAACATTGTGTTCAGTATACCTGATGAAGGATTAAGAATATACTTCGAAACATTGTGTTCAGTATACCTGATGAAGGAGTAAGAATATACTTCGAAACATTGAATACATTGTAAGTTCAGTATACCTGATGAAGGAGTAAGAACAAACTTTGAAACATTGTGTTCAGTATACCTGATGAAGGAGTAAGAATATACTTGAAACATTGTGTTCAGTATACCTGATGAAGGAGTAAGAATATACTTTGAAACATTGTGTTCAGTATACCTGATGAAGGAGTAAGAACAAACTTTGAAACATTGTGTTCAGTATACCTGATGAAGGAGTAAGAATATACAAACATTGTGTTCAGTATACCTGATGAAGGAGTAAGAATATACTTCAAACATTGTGTTCAGTATACCTGATGAAGGAGTAAGAACAAACTTTTGTGTTCAGTATACCTGATGAAGGAGTAAGAACAAACTTTGAAACATTGAGTTCAGTATACCTGATGAAGGAGTAAGAATATACTTCGAAACATTGTGTTCAGTATACCTGATGAAGGATTAAGAACAAACTTTGAAACATTGTGTTCAGTATACCTGATGAAGGAGTAAGAATATACTTCGAAACATTGTGTTCAGTATACCTGATGAAGGATTAAGAACAAACTTTGAAACATTGTGTTCAGTATACCTGATGAAGGAGTAAGAATATACTTCGAAACATTGTGTTCAGTATACCTGATGAAGGATTAAGAACATACTTCGAAACATTGTGTTCAGTATACCTGATGAAGGATTAAGAATATACTTCGAAACATTGAGTTCAGTATACCTGATGAAGGATTAAGAACAAACTTTGAAACATTGTGTTCAGTATACCTGATGAAGGATTAGAATATACTTTGAAACATTGTGTTCAGTATACCTGATGAAGGAGTAAGAATATACTTCGAAACATTGTGTTCAGTATACCTGATGAAGGATTAAGAACATACTTTGAAACATTGTGTTCAGTATACCTGATGAAGGAGTAAGAATATACTTCGAAACATTGTGTTCAGTATACCTGATGAAGGATTAAGAACATACTTCGAAACATTGTGTTCAGTATACCTGATGAAGGATTAAGAATATACTTCGAAACATTGTGTTCAGTATACCTGATGAAGGATTAAGAACAAACTTTGAAACATTGTGTTCAGTATACCTGATGAAGGATTAAGAACATACTTTGAAACATTGTGTTCAGTATACCTGATGAAGGAGTAAGAATATACTTCGAAACATTGTGTTCAGTATACCTGATGAAGGATTAAGAACATACTTTGAAACATTGTGTTCAGTATACCTGATGAAGGATTAGAATATACTTTGAAACATTGTGTTCAGTATACCTGATGAAGGAGTAAGAATATACTTTGAAACATTGAGTTCAGTATACCTGATGAAGGATTAAGAACAAACTTTGAAACATTGTGTTCAGTATACCTGATGAAGGAGTAAGAATATACTTTGAAACATTGAGTTCAGTATACCTGATGAAGGATTAAGAACAAACTTTGAAACATTGAGTTCAGTATACCTGATGAAGGAGTAAGAATATACTTCGAAACATTGAGTTCAGTATACCTGATGAAGGATTAAGAACAAACTTTGAAACATTGTGTTCAGTATACCTGATGAAGGATTAGAATATACTTTGAAACATTGTGTTCAGTATACCTGATGAAGGAGTAAGAATATACCTCGAAACATTGTGTTCAGTATACCTGATGAAGGATTAAGAACAAACTTTGAAACATTGTGTTCAGTATACCTGATGAAGGAGTAAGAATATACTTTGAAACATTGTGTTCAGTATACCTGATGAAGGAGTAAGAATATACTTCGAAACATTGAGTTCAGTATACCTGATGAAGGATTAAGAACAAACTTTGAAACATTGTGTTCAGTATACCTGATGAAGGAGTAAGAATATACTTTGAAACATTGAGTTCAGTATACCTGATGAAGGAGTAAGAATATACTTTGAAACATTGAGTTCAGTATACCTGATGAAGGAGTAAGAATATACTTTGAAACATTGAGTTCAGTATACCTGATGAAGGAGTAAGAATATACCGCGAAACATTGTGTTCAGTATACCTGATGAAGGATTAAGAACAAACTTTGAAACATTGTGTTCAGTATACCTGATGAAGGAGTAAGAATATACTTTGAAACATTGTGTTCAGTATACCTGATGAAGGAGTAAGAATATACTTTGAAACATTGAGTTCAGTATACCTGATGAAGGAGTAAGAATATACTTCGAAACATTGAGTTCAGTATACCTGATGAAGGATTAAGAACAAACTTTGAAACATTGTGTTCAGTATACCTGATGAAGGAGTAAGAATATACTTTGAAACATTGAGTTCAGTATACCTGATGAAGGAGTAAGAATATACTTTGAAACATTGAGTTCAGTATACCTGATGAAGGAGTAAGAATATACTTTGAAACATTGAGTTCAGTATACCTGATGAAGGAGTAAGAATATACTTCGAAACATTGTGTTCAGTATACCTGATGAAGGATTAAGAACAAACTTTGAAACATTGTGTTCAGTATACCTGATGAAGGAGTAAGAATATACTTTGAAACATTGTGTTCAGTATACCTGATGAAGGAGTAAGAATATACTTCGAAACAATCATATTCCTCATAATAAAGACAATGACATCCATACATCCTCACCTTTTAAGAATAACAATATTTAGAGTGGACAGTTACAAAAAATAACAAAGCAACTGTAATAAAAGTTACACCCAAAACTGATATTCAAGGATGAATTGATATCTGAGGTCTCTCTTACCGTTTTCCTGAGTAACCAGTTACGAATATTCGTTCAAACAACATTTTAACTTCATTGATTGATTTCACTCCCAGGATGTCCTGGTTTTTGCGGTAGATCTGAATGAGGTCCTTGAACGCTGTGGTTGTCTCAGTCAGAAGGTCTGTGACGGTCAGCTCAGGTTCTGAAAATATGCAAGAATCATGCATTACAGTGAAGTAGTGAGTGAGTTGGGTTCTACCCCAGGTTTGGACAGTATTCAAGATATCACACAATATCTCACAGGGCTCGATTTAAGAGATGTTAACCTACTTGCACCAGGTGCAACCTAAAATAAAAACCTAGTTGCACCAGCCAAATTCCAGTTGCAACGTAGTGTGTTAAAATGTTTCGGTGCACATAAACCTTAATCAGTGATGTAGTACCCATGAAACCATAGCAACACTGAGACACAGCTGATCCCTGTTTACAAGAGCTGTCATAGCCGAGACGTGTTTATGAATAGCAATGTTTCATTGCCATAGCTATTCAAAGTTTAGAAGAAAAATGGGCTGGCATTATGCATATGTTAGATTTATTGTTGATGTATTTCTCAACAATTCACTTGCACCTTGTGCAAGATAGACTCATAGCTAGGTTGTATTTTGTAATACTGGGTTGCACTAGTGCAAGTAACAAAGCACTAAATCGAGCCCTGTCTCAGCTTCATGTAGAGGATGGGTACAATGTGTGAAGCCCATTTCTGGTGTAACCCCGTCGTGATATTGCTGGAATATTGCTAAAAGTGGCGTAAAACCAAACTCACTCACTCATGTCGAGGAAATCCTGAAACAGTGCAGTCCTAGACATTCAACATTACACCACTTAATGTGACTCTCTAATAAAGGAAAGAAAACAGACAGTGAAAATAAGGTACTAAATGGTAAATTTTTGGATGAATTGTTTACCTAGGTCTCTGAATTCTTCCGAACATTCCTTGATTGCCTCAGATGTCTGCCACACTGCCACGTGCAGAGTCTGTGCGTAGTCGTTGATGGAATACGGCAGGACGTAGTCATCTACCAGCTTCATCATCGCCATGGTAACAACCCGGCTGACAGCGATGTGGTACTTGAAGTGGTGCTGACTATCAAGCTCTCTCATGTCATCTATGCTTCCTGGAGCCTGAAAAAACAATTGAGTGAGTGAGTGAGTGAGTCCTTAACAAACATTATGAGTGAGTGAGTGAGTCCTTAACAAACATTATGAGTTGGCTTCGCTCATCATTTCCTGTCTACTGCAAAGCTCTATCAAATTTTTCAACCCAAATTTACTACCTCTAACTGAACTCTTTTCAGACTGGGGGAAATGCAAATTCATAATGTGGTTTGGTTTTCTAACCCATATTAACTGCCCATACATATCATTCACACACCACTTAAACTGTTTTTATCAATTAGTGTTCATATATCATATGGTATTCTATAACAGCATGCTGTGTAGCAATACTTGGAACCTTTGGAAAACTGTCAGTGTGACCCAAATACTGTTAAACCTCACAAGTCCAGACCACTGTCTAAACCGACATTGTGTGGGAGACAGAGTCCATGAATACGTCAATATTATGCAATAGTTGAGTTTATCATCTATATCTGGAGATGTTGCAAAACAAAGCTTTGAAGATTATTGTTACATCACAATCATATGGCATCACAGATCCCTCAGCCACTGAAGCTGGTTAGCAGTAGTTATTACAAGTTATTCAAGACACTGGTTACTTCTATTACAGAAAAAGTCACATGAAATACTTTTAACAAAAATAGAACATCATCCATCATTTTGATACCAAAGAGCATGCCAGTGATTCGAACAATACCAGGCTGCATCATTGCAAAGCATGATGGATGCTCTCGGAACATCAGAAGGTGAGGTGAGGTGAAATTGAGAATATTTCGATTTAACGCATCGTGTGTGTGTGTGAATATCTCACTCATATGACAACGTGCATGCGTGTGTGTGTGTATGTGCAGCTGTTTGTACTCAAGCTTAAGCTGGTTTTATAGTGCTAGCCCACTGAGATACCATGCCGCAGTGAAGCATGAATACCCCACTCAGACACATTATACTGACTCCAAGCCGACCAGTCCTTGTTGTACCCATTAATGCCGAGCGCCAGGCAGGGACCAACAAGTACCATATTTTAACGTCTTTTGGTATGACGCGGTCGGGGATCGAACCCGCGACCTTCCGCTCTCCGGGCGGACGCTCTAACCACTACACCACGGAGGCGGTCACATCAGAAGGTATCGATATGGATATATAAACATTATAGTTAACAACATGTAGGTACCATATTATAACTGTTCTAATATGTGGTTGTATTTGTGTGTCTCATCTGATTGAAGACAGGATAAACCAAGTTTTTGTTTCTATCAAAATTCTATACTTTCGGAAATTAAGTGATAGTCTTGCCGTAGGATCTTAATTTTTTTAAAAACATAAAAAGACACATGATGTCTGAAGTGAGAATATTTTTTACCCTATCAAACATTGAGTAGTATTGCCTACCTCGATGGTGGTGCCCTCAAACTGAAGGTGAACTTCCGGTACACCTGCGAGATGAAGGAAGGGATGGCGTGTTACATCCTGTGTGTAGAGTTTGAACGGAGACCAGTGTGAGGAGCCTACAGCTGACTTCCTGTCCCAGTCGTCAAGGATCATGGTCTCTGGGTTCAAGGGATTGGGAACCTGAGGACAAAGAGGTCAGTCTGTTCAGATGGAAAATAATTCAGCAGATATATTCCACATACTAGTATTCTTCACAGATGTCTTTAAATGGCATTTAGAAGTGATACATGTGGAAGAGGGTTTTATGGATGTCAATTTTTTTATTATGAGGAACATGCCGTTTCAGAGTATATCCTTACTCCTTCACCCGGTGAAGGAGGAGTAAGGATATACTCTGAAACGTTGTGTTCCTCATAATAAAGTAGTTGACATCCATCAAACTCTCTTCCTTGAGAAATTATCTGCAGTAAAGTGAAATATTTTCTTCTTTTGAGTGCTATATACTTCATAGTCAGTGAGTGAGTGAGTTTAGTTTTACGCCGCATTCAGCAATATTCCAGCTATATGGCAGCGGTCTGTAAATAATCGAGCCTGGACCAGACGGACAATCCAGTGATCAACATGAGCATCGATCTGCGCAATTGGGAATCGATGACATGTGTCAAACAAGTAAGCGAGCCTGACCACCCGATCCTGTTTGTCATATACTTCATAGGATTCATAACCAATGAAGAATGTGTATGTGAGATTAAACTGAAAACAATTCAATCTGATTGACATTTTCAATTTAATTTTCCGCTGTGTGATTGTTGTGAGCACAATTTGTCATTGCAGTTATGAAGTGGATTGTCTCCCTTCAACTGCTGTGGTTCTGACCGGAGAAAAGTAGTTTTCATTGAATTAAGTGTTGTTGTTGTATCTGTTCTAAAAAGAAGTAACTAAAGCACTGCATTGCTTCGTGAAAGAGAGCAAATTCAAAAGCAGAGACATTGAAAGAAAGCTGACAGACAGGAATTTGAAATCAGCTGCTGAAGATCAGTGTATCCTGCTACAAGTAAGGGCAACAATGGGAGACGTGACCTACCCTGTGAGCGGCGGTGTTCAGCAGCTTCCTCAACGCTGGTGTGACGGTGGCGGTGATCGTCTTGTTCCCTGTGGCAAGTTCACTCAGATCGAAGTAGGCAACAGCTCTCCTGCCAAGGAGGTGCATATTGGCCTGGAAATACAATCATCACCATCTTACAAATTTGTGAGAGTGGGTGGGTGAGTCATGACTACATTTCATACATTGAACAGAAATCAAAATTGGGTGTTGGAGTGACGAGTCCTAACCCAGTCTGTCATACAGACCCTGAAACAAACATATCCAAGAAAGCCCATGCAAGTCTAGATTGTGTGGCAAGTCACAGTTTCAGGAAGAAAGTCTCAGGGCTCCTTTTCATTATATTTTATGTTTTTTAATATGAACTGTTTTTCTGTAATATATGTTCATTTCAAAGACTCTGAAATTTACAAATTTAGTGAAACAATGGGAGTTGTTTATCACTACCATATAGATACATGTCAACAATAATATAGCCTTGACATTACCTTGATGTACTCCCTCATCCCAGCATTGGAGAACTCTGCCCCTCCCCACGATATGAGCTTTATCCCCCGTCTTGGCTTCCATTGATCGGTTTTCTTGTACTGTAAACTCCAGGCGATCTGTCGCAGCATGGTCGTGGAGACGAGAGCATCCGTGGAAGACCCTGGGAAGGACGATCGTGGAGCTCCAACAATCACGTACTTGTCTGTGGAGATTGAGCATTAATGAATACATAGTTACATTAATCCAATATTAACATGATGTTAAACTATATTATTCAGTTTCAGCAGAAAAAAACCAATATCCTAAATATGACGGAATGTGAACTTTTAATGAAAAACCTAAAAACTTGCGACAAAAGGTTACAAAATGGCATCACATTATTTACATTTTGTTAATAAAATATTGGAGAGAATTGTAGCAGATCAAGAGATTTTTTCACAACTTACCAGGCTCTGAATAACCGCTGAGTTTGCCCACGACGTTCCTAACAAACACTTCTTTCCTCTTGTTAAATGTCGTAATCTTGACTGTAAAGTTGCCTGTAAATAAACAAACAGTATTCATAAAATACCAGTAATAGTATATGGAGCAACAGCAGCATGAACGTCCTGGATAATTTGTCCCAGTTGTTTCATTGGCATTTTTAGTTGGAGAGTAAAAATGCTGTATACAACCTTATGGATGACAACTGCTTGTTTCTTGCGTAACAGTGATGTTTCGATGTAGATGCTTACACCGTTATCAAGCTAAAAATGATAGCTTGATAACAGTGTAAGAATCTACATTGAAACGTTGCTGTATGCAATAAACAAACAGCTGACTTCCATAAAACTGCATGCTTCCTTTTTGCTCCAGGATGGTTTGGCTTACAACATATTCAATTGAAGGGAGATAACTCCAACCACCCTAGGTTATAGATACACTGACTGAAACAAAGCGTTACATAGACCTGCAGGAGGAACTTTCAAACTTTCTGATCCGCATTAAGTGAAAAGACCTACATAATTACATTACTGTACATCACTTTCTTCTACACAGGTCGGAGTTGCTACCCCTTGGGTTATTTACCTGACCCGTATCTGTAGGTGTTATTGAATCCACCCTTCCATGTTGTCGGAACAGAAGCTCCTTGCAGCTCCCTTAGAAATGTGGCTGCCATTTTGGTCGAGATTGTCTGAGTGGGTACAGTGAACAAGGTGGACTGATCTGGAACATCCAAAATACATAACATAAACAATAAATGGTTGGATTGAGTTGTACTTGAAGGTCAGGTTGAAAGGTTCAATACAGGATAAAAAAACCCTTTAGTTCCTTCAATTCTGAGACAAACCCCCAAAGTCCTAAGCCTGAAAATGTTGAATATCTTAAATTACTCAATAATTGAATTTGGGAGTGAAATTCATTTGTAAGGTTTTTATGGATCTAATCTGCAAATTTTTATTATGCAGCAGCGTCCCCCTTACATTTACCAGTTGAACACAGAGCTCCAGATAAGCTGCATATTTGTGTATAATACGCTATAGAAAAGTTGAAATATGCAAGAAAAGTAAGTGCCAGCGTATAAAAAGAACTAAATATCTATGTTTATGCTATGTCAAAATAAGAATGAGTATTTACCCAATACATCAAAATCATGTTACGTATCGTATCAATTCAAGTTAATCGAAACAAACTCAAAGTCTTGAATACTTCTAAATGCAATTAAGATGTGCAACGCAGATAGAATAAGTCATGGTTTGTTAACCCTTCACTGATCTGCCCATCTATAAATAGCAACCAATCAAATAGCTGTTTTCTTTTTACGTGTCCTGTAAACAAATCGATAATGGCGAGCAAGAGTGGTCGAAAGCTTCAACAAGCTCCAAGTAAAATATCTAGTTTTTTTACGGTACAAACAGAAAACAACTTCATTATAGGACTACCAGAGGAACTGATAGGCAAGTGCTGTGTTTCACAATCAGAATCAACTTAGCATTTTTAGTTATTCATCTTTAACTAGAGGATTTTGTCTTATCTCTATTACTGAATAAAAAAATGACGTCCCTCTTAAAGTTCTTATTTGAAATGAATATACAGATCTTAAATATATGGTGGGTATCAAAAAAGTATAGATACCCACATGAAATTGGAAATACCCACTTAGTTCCAAAAGTATGGATATCGTACCCACATGGCCAAAAGCTTATCTGGAGCTCTGGAACATCAGCACTGCACTTGGCATAGAAAGATAACACACGCATATGGGATTGGAACCCAACATATAGGCAATGACAAGGACTTAAACAAGTGGGCCACTACCATCCCTCCAACCACAAGAGCAGAGGATGTTGTACAAAAGCTCTTATTTAGAATCATTCAAGAAAGAGATAGTGTTGTGTTTTCAGTCACATAAAATGATCAAATGTTAAATCTTTTTCTCACCACATCCTGCTGAAGCATATGGAATGAAGGAGGCATTATGTGGGGCCGCCAGTTCCTTGTCCAGGGGGGTCCCAGTACAACAGCACCCCAGCCACTCCTGCATCTTGGGCTACCTGGAGCTGGAACAAACAAACACCATTGGTCAGTGTTACAGTGAGTGACCAATACAGTGTCCAAAATGACAGGCTGCCTGCAGTCCCATGGCTGGTAACATTTCTGTCAAGATATCAGTTGGAATAAATTTACTGTCAAATAATATATTAATTGCTACAGTGACAATGTTGAATTAGGCATTGATATGTGACACATTTACCTGATGGTCAGGATGGTCAGAAAAAACCCTTCATTGCTGCATTGACAATATTGAATCAGGCACTGATAAGTAATGCATCAAGGTGAAACCAAGAGCTACCTTTCTGATGAAAAAGCTAAAAATATCAAAGGCACAGAGTGGTGTAAATCTGGAATGATGCAACACACAAACCAGGACCAAAAGCATGAGCAAAGAGCCAAACCATTTGTCAAATGAATAAATACAACATGCTTTTTGTCTATACCGATAGGATTGTTGCTGTATGCTTTATTGTATGGTGTATTGTTACATCCTGACTAAACAACAAAGTTCTTCGGTAACTGACCTGTAAATATCATATACAAAACCTGCATAAAAAATATGTTATGTAAAAAAAAGATACACAAAAAATCTTTTCCAGACTAAATTTGTCACAAATATACTTCCAAAATAACACAAATAACAAATAACACAATAACTATACAAACCCAAACCATTCCAAAGACATCAAATAACCTTTAACCCTTCCTACATTAAACTGATTTATCTATCTATTTCTCCAAATAAACATGTTTACACATGCTATAACTTTCATTCAAGATCTAACACACTTACATATAGGCATACGATCACAAGGATATATTTTAGCTTCACCGACACGTGTTGATGGTTTTTGGCCTGAATGTTTGCTAGTTTGTGTATATCATGTGTTGAATATACTTGAAAGGAATCGGGTCAGCACTTAATAAAACCTCCCTAGCTCCTGCGTAATGACCCCTGACAAGTTCATCTAGAGCCCCCCCAGTCCCGTAGCCTGTAACAAAGGGCCTGTAACCATCCCATAGCTTCTAACAAAGGGCCTATTGCCATCAGGGAGCACGAGTCGTGAAGTCAGGACGCTGGGGTGAGACACCACATGTAATCTCTCTGTGTCGCTGTACGATTACAACGCTAATCACTGGGCTATTTGCATGGTTTACATAAGACAGCTGGTTGATAGGTGTCTATCACATAGATTTACACACACCGGCAAATTAGTAAGAAGGTTAGGGCTGACAGGAATAGCGAGGGACGTACGAATGAGATATCACACACTTAAAGGGACTCTCCCAGGTTAGTTAGGCCTGTTAGATTGACTTGCAACAAAGGCTAGAATTGGCTTCAGAGCGCATATAAAAATATAAATTATTGTGATTGAGGAAAATGAGCTTGTTTCACCAGTTTCTATTTGTTTTTTAAAATTGCGACATTTTACTACAAAAATACATATGGCACACAAAGCAAACCGTTTTCTATGCAACTAGTTTTGACATTAGCTATTTTCAACACAATTTATTTACATAGACTGTTTTTAAGTTATATTCCATAAACTATTGTTTACACAACCTATTTTACATAAACTGCTTTCTGCATGTCTTATTTCACATAAACTACTGCCTACATAACTTACACTGCATAAACTGTTTTCAGCAGATCTTTTTTCACCTTGACTGCTTAATGCACAACTTATTTACATAAACTGTCTTCTACACAATTTATTTTACCTTTTCCGCAACTGATGTTACTCCTAATCGAAGGAGCAAAACTTGATCTGTGATGTTGATACCTTGACCTTTGAAGGTCAACAAGTCAGACAAACGGCCATAATGTCCATAGAACACACCACCCTGAAAACAAGAAATGTTGATCAATAATGGGCACCCTGGCAAATTGTCAAAGCTGTTCAGCTAATGGAGAGAAAATATAAAAGTAATTTTTTGAGTAAAATTGATATTTTATACTTATCCTGACTCATGCTCTTTTGCTTGTCTTCTTCTTCTTGCGAACATAGTGGAACACTTGTATCTCCTTAATTGAAGCTCCCTTCAATGTAAAATCACTAATTGGTACTCACCACGAGTTGCCTCCCTTGCCCTTTTGGGCGGGAACAGGTGTCGCCACCCTCTGGCCTCATGCTTCACTCTCTCCTGATTTTGCGAGCCCAACACTTGAATTTACAGGGAAATCCAAAGTGTTATGTGGGGAGGATGGGAGGGCTAACCTCATGAGTCAGGATAAGTATAAAATATCAATTTTACTCAAAAAATTACATATTTTTCCTTATCCTGACTCATGCTCTTTTGCTTGTAGAATCCTACACGAGGAAGCGGAGGTGGGCAAAACAGAATACTTTGGATTTATAGAATTAGTGATTTATATAGATTTAACTGTAATAACCCCTCACGGGAACTTCATAAAGGCATAGACTTAGGATAATTCCTCTATTATAAGCCATAGGTTATAATGCCATACTGGGGTATTTACATTATGATATACTGAGATATTATAAACAACAATATCAAAGCGACTCTGATAGAGAAGCTATACCACTGAACATATATACATACTGCTAGAACTCCGTGAGTTATAAGCTAGATAATGCATGTAACAATTATGCATATTAATCTCGTAAGACTACGTGTTAGCGTTCTGAGGGACTGTCAACTGCTGTCTGAGGACCAAGGGACCCGAAATGGTGAATGCCTGAGGCGTCCTCGGTGGTGATATCTCTCAGGTAGTGATTAGCAAACACCATGTTAGATTTCCAAAAGCATCCTTCCATAATTGTATTCAAGAACAGTTACCGTGTAAAGTGAGTGGAAGCTAAGCCCTGATTTCATGGGGATTTGATGCTGTTGGAGGGTCCAGTCCTGCTGCCTTGTAGGTAGCAGAGTATGACAGTTCTTATCCATATAGATATGGTGAGTGCGAGAGACTTCTGTCTGAGTTGTTGCCGACAAGGGAATGAATAATCGTTTGAGAAATCTTAGCCTTGTTTTGGAGCGTCGTAAATAGATTTTGAGAGCTCTGACTGGGCATAGAGATAAGTCCAGTGTATCTTGAGATCGAGAATGGAGGATAATGCAGGGATATGAAATAACCTGTCTGGTTGACCTGGTAGTTGATTTTTGGCGATGAAATCCCATCTTAATCCCAGGTGTGCTGTGTTTTGATTGTCATCAAACTGTATCCTCTCATAATCTAGTCGTGAATTTCCGACATCCTGGCTGCTGTGGCTAGAGATAACAGGAAAAGCGTTTTCTGTGAGAGAAACTCAAAGTTTGTCGATTCCAGCGGTTCATAAGCCTCACTTGTGAGGTGTTGCAACACTATATTCAGATCCCAAGCTGGAAGTGGAACTTCCGCTTTTGGTCCTCAATCGGAAGCCAGTAGTAAGGCCAGTAACTCTGGAGTTCTTGTTAATCTAACACCCGTTCTCATGGTAATGACAGAACTAAAGCGGCAAGATATGTTGACAATGTCGAGCCTTTTAAATGTTTGTTTTGCCGTAAGTAACACAAATAATCTGCCACTTGTGGATGAGTAGCATCTCTTGCTGTAAATCCCTTATTTACTGCGTAATTCTCAAAACTGTGCCACTTGTCGTCGTTACAAGTTCGTGTGTAGAATAAGCGTAAGGCAAAGCGTGACGCTTTTGCGCCCTGGTAGAATACCCTCTCTTGTTTAAACACATTTTAATACAGTCCATCATTGAAGTTGGAATACTTCTGGGCTTCCGTGCACCTGTTTGGTGTGTGGATGTATTAATAGATTTGGCTTGGGTAGCTCTAGTGTTGGTTGACCGATTTCTTGAATTAGAATGGGAAACCACGTTCTGGCCCGACCAGTAGAGTAGCGACCAAAGTGAGTTGGAGGCTCTGTGTTTGTCTGATTTTCTGTAACACTTGAGGTATTATTGCTGGCGGAGAGCGCGTCGCATTGAGGCCTTCCCAGGATATGCTTAGATCCGTTGCCCATGCTTGTGGGTCTGGGACTGGTGACCACGAATGTCGGTAGCTGATTGTTGAAGCGTGTTGCGAATAGATCTACTAGCGGCTCCTATTTGCTTGATTATCTGTGCAAATATTTCTGTATTGAGCATCCATTCTGTCGGTGGCGGTTGATGTGGCGAGAGAGTCGTCTGCTAGTACATTCTTGGCTCGGGAATGTGACATGCTCTGACATGTAGGTTTAGATCGTGTATTAGATCGAACAGTTGAAAGCTTAAAGTCAATAGGTTCAGTGATCTTGTTGAACCTTGTTTGTTCACATAGAAGCGCCACTGTCGAGTTGTCGGTATGAATCATTAAGTCGCATTCTGTAGAATGTTGCTCCAATGAAGTATGGCGTTGATTACAGCTTTCATCTCTAACATGTTTATATGGAGCTTGCTTTCTTGCTGATTCCATAACCCTGATGCCGTCCGGTTGGCGAGATGAGCTCCCCAACCTTGGGCGGCAGCGTCTACATATAGATGGGTTTTGAATTCCTGCTCTTCTAAACAAATACCTTCCATGAAACATTCGACCTCCTGGTCCACCATAGTAGATGAGGTCTGAGGCGTTTGGGTAGACTGAATGGTTGTAGGTCGTCGAGATGTGCATTGATGAAGACCTGTAATGGGCGTAACTGTAATCTGCCTGAGACTGTCATGTCTTGGGCTGATGTGAGAGACCCAACAGCTCTGCCATTGTCGTAGTGGTAGCGGAGAGAGTAGAGAACTGGCGGAATGGTCTGTTGGATCTTGAGCCAGCGGTCTTCTGGTCTGATCTGACGATCGGGTTGTGATTAAGTGATAAATCGAATGCCTAGGAACTGCAGATCTTGCGATGGTACTAGGTCCGACTTGAGTAAGTTTACTAACCATCCTAGCTGTGTTAGTAGCTTTATGATGTAGTTTAACTGTAGTTTGAGATGCTGTGGATCTTGATCTACTTGTATCCCGTCGTCGAGTAGAGCGCTCGTAGCCCTAGGCGATGTAGATAGGTGACAATAGGTTTAGTTATCCTCGTGAATAGCCAGGGGCTGATGATATGCGAATGGGAGTACTTTCCATTGGTAATGTAGCCCGTCTAGTGTAAATCTTAGATATTTCCTGGATTAGGGATGTATCGGGATATGTAGATAAAGCGTCTTGCAGATCTATACTGGCCATGTAATCCATGGGGCGAATCAACTGCGTAACTGAGGAAGGTGTATCATCGCGAAACTTTGGTGGTTTTGCGTAGATAATTCCTGTTGAAAAAGCTCATGTTGTAAATGAGTCTGTATTTCTCCTTGGAGTTTTCTTGGGTACTAGGAAAACTGGGGAGTAGAAGCCTGGTTCGATGTCTACTTGATCTAGTACTTCTATGGCCTGCTTGGTTATGAGTGATGTAACCGCCTCTCTTAACTTTGGTAGTTGTTGTGCCTGTAAATTCGAACTTGTAAGGGTTGACTGTCAGCGGGCGTGGCCTGTAGTGGGATCTGAAATCCGTGTTGAAGAATGTTGGAGACATAAGGGTCTTTTAACATTCCCCAGTTCTCCCAGTGTAGTTGGAAGCGTCCACCCACTTGTGGCGGTTGTACTGGAGCGGCTGGGGTGGAAGACTCCAGTCGTTCGAACCTGTCTTTCAGCGTTTATAGTTGCGGGAACCTCTGGGTGTCCTGCCTCTTCCTGACCCTCCTCTATAGTTGCCATATGGGCGTGAAAGAATCTTTTCCCTGGCTGGCTATCTTCCTATCCGTGCTTTCTGTAGTCGAGAACTTAGATCTCCTGAGTATCTTTGTGAAGTCTGCCTGATGGCGGCTTGCTAAGCGTGTCCATCGACTTGATCATAAGGACTTCTCTGGAGTCCTTAGTGACTTCCTTGGAGACTTTGTCTATTCCTCCGTCAAAGATGTTTGGGGATGACCACGGGGCTGTATAGAGTGGAGCTGTAAAGTTCTCACCCCAGCTGCAGGAAGCGAGGAGGCCTTGACGACGAGCTAAGGTCAGTGCTGCTGAGACAGATGTGAGATGATCTGTAAGGAACTGCTGGTCCTTCTTTTGCATCAGTAGGGCCGAGTAGATCATCCTATCATCTTCAGAGGTAAGTATTCGAAATCTGGTGATAAGTGTCTCATTGATCGTTCTAGATCTATTTAGGCCAAAGAACATCGTCTCGTCATGTTTTCTATCTGCACCAGCTTGCGATCGTCAATCTTGTAGTTCTTGTTCTTAACATGGCTGATCAGCTTGTAGTTTTCATCGATGTCTTGTGCCTTCAGGAAGGGTCCATGTTGTCGCGTGGAGAACTTCTTAAGCGTGAAAGTTCGGCAGATGTGGAGTCTGCACTTTCGTAGCTTTAATGAAGGCTGTATCTAGATTATGTGGCACCGCGGGCAATCGAATTCGATCGGGAGGTAAGGTGATGGCGTCTGCATCGTCTTCCTTCATCAGGTATGTCTGCGCTGAGTTGCCACTCTTGGGCCGATGAAGATAAATCTAGGTTGTTTACCATCCAATATCTTATCTCAGCGTCTGAGAAGATGATGCCTCCATCATCTTCTGTACCAACATCGGAGATGAGAGGTTGATGCTCTTCTGATGGTGACCTCTGGGCTGCTATCTCTATGTCGGGTGACACTTTCGGGGAGACCTGAGTGTAGACCTGTGTGCCGACTTGTGTGATGACCTGCGAGGTGATATGCGTGGAGATCGGTGGTGAGCGGCGTGGAGATCGTCTAGGTGATCTGCGTCTATGGGAAGACCTAGATCTGCGAGGAGAATGTGTTGGCGGCCGTGAAGCTCTTGAATAGTCCCTCGGCGTCCTTCTGGGCGATGGCGATCTGTGTGGCGGCCTTCCGTGCAGCTTCCTCTGCGTCG